ACACACACACCCTGAGCCCCCATCCCACCCCCTCCAAATCAGTGCAGGCCTGACTAGGGACTCAGGTCACTCATTTGGAGATTGGACTCTGCCCCCACTTCTCTCTTCCCAGGAGACTCCATCTGCAACCAGGGCCCCTGCAGGCACCGAAGTGTTCAGTATTTTTCCCTCCCTGCCCACAGCACCTGCAAAAGCAAATCCTATCATTGTCAGCCCAGATTTTTCCTAAAGAGGGGCTGGGTGTGGAAGGAGGAGCATTTTTCCTTTGGGGGAGTTGAAGGGAGAGTTGCCAGAGCAGTTTTGAAAAGGGTTAGAAGTGAGTAAGAGAGAAGAGAATAAAAGAGTGGGTGGCTCAGTCACTAAGCGTCTGCCTTCAGCTCAGGTCATGATCCCAGGGTCCTGGGATCGAGCCCCGCATTGGGCTCCCTGCTCCGCGGGAAGCCTGCTTCTCCCTCTCCCACTCCTCCTGCTTGTGTTCCCTCTCTCGCTGCCTCTCTCTCTGTCAAATAAATAAATAAATAAAAATAAACGTGTCAGACTGTAGATTCAGCTGTACTTCTCATTAGCTCTACCACTCACTAGCTGTGTGACCTTTGGCAAAGTACATAATCTCTCTGAGCCTAAGCAGTGAAATCTTATTATTATTATTTAAGGTATATTTAAGGTATAACCAGTGTAACCAGTGAAGAAAGACAGGCAGTGAAATGGAATGACTCGGCCAGAGTCACACGGCTGACTAATGGCAGACAGAACTCAAATCCAGATCTTTTGTCTCGGACGTCCCTGTCCCCGCTGCCCCCGCTGCCCACCTGCCACCGCGGGACTCATGGGCATAGGCCTGTGTGAGAGCTCAGATTCAGGCTGTTCGAAGGAGAGCGTGTTTGTAACAGATAACGTGAGTTGCCCCACTACCCTCTCTCCTCCTTCCATCGTAAAAGAGCCTGAGAACAGCCCTTGGCCACTCGGCCCGCTAAGGACATCTCCGGGGTGGTGCCGGCCGCGAGGTGGGGCCACGTGACTGAGCTCCAGCCAATGAGATGAGTGATTAGGGGCCTCGCGCCATTCAGCTCGGGGAGTGGACGTGCGGTCCTGAGGCCGATTGTCCACAGAAAGATGGCCACAGAAAGATGGCCACAGAAGATGGCCACAGAAAGATGATCACGGAAAGATGATCACAGAAAGATGGCCACAGAAAGATGGCCACAGAAAGATGATCACAGAAAGATGACCACAGAAAGATGGCCACAAAAAGATGACCACAGAAAGATGGCCACAGAAAGATGACCACAGAAAGATGGCCACAGAAAGACCTCCTCTCCCACATGTCATTCTCCAGCGGGCTCCGTGTCCCCTCTTCTCGAATGCAGGTGGACCTGTGACTGTTTGACCAACAGAGTGTGTTGGAAGATGACATGAGGCTTGTGAGGCCAGGTCATAGAAGGCAGTTGTTAGGGGTTGAATTGTGTCCCCCCTCCAATTCATATGTTGAAGTCCTAACCCCCAGGAGCTCAGGATGCAGCCTTATCTGGCAGTAGGGTCATTGCGGATGTCACTGGTTAAGATGAGGTCACCCTGCTGGGTGATAGACACTGGGGAGGGTATGTGCTCTGGTAAGCGCTGTGAATTGTGCAAGACTGTTGAATCTCAGATCTGTACCTCTGAAACAAATAATGCAATATATGGTAAGAAAAAAAAAAAAGAAGATAGTAGGAGGGGAAGAATAAAGGGGGGGAAATTGGAGGGGTAGACGAACCATGAGAGACGATGGACTCTGAAAAACAAACTGAGGGTTCTAGAGGGGAGGGGGGTGGGAGGATGGGTTGGCCTGGTGATGGGTATTGAGGAGGGCACGTTCTGCATGGAGCACTGGGTGTTGTGCACAAACAATGAATCATGGAACACTTCATCTAAAACTAGTGATGTAATGTATGGGGATTAACATAAGAATAAAAAAAAAAAAGATGAGGTCACCCTGGAGGAGAGCGGACCCCTCATCCAATATGACTGCTGTGTTTAAGTCAAGGGGACATTTGGACGCGAAACAGTCATGCAGAGAGGGCAGCCGTCCGCAAGCCAAAGAGAGAGGCCTGGAACAGCCCCTTCCCTCACAGCCCTCAGAAGGAAGAAACCCCGCCAGCCCCTGGACTTCAGGCTTCTAGCCTCCAGATTAAAGCACTCGGCTTGTGGTGCTTTGTTACAGTAGCCCCAGGAAGCCAAGGGCGCACTGCTTCCTCCTGGTTCTCCCGGGAGTCCTCACACTGGGAAGGGAGTGGGTGAGGGGGGGAGTCGGCTACCATGTGGGTCCAGCTACCCCAAGAATATGGCGCTGGAGGGGCCCCCATGGAGGTGCTGGGTCAACAGACCCAGCTGAGCCCCTGGCCAGCAGCCAGCAGCACCCACCAGACCCGTGAGTGAGTGAGCCTTCTTGGGCATCAACCCAAGGGTGCCCTCCGATGACCCCAGCCCCAGCCAACCTCTGACTGTCACTGCCTGAAAGACTCCAAGGGACAGGTGCCTAGTTGAACCCTTCCCAATCCTGACCCACAAAATCATGAGTGAGATGAAATGGTGGGTTGAAGCTGCTAAGTCTTAGGGTAACTGCAAATCTGCATAGTAACCAGCACACCTACACTCCCCCCTTCCCTCCCTTCCCAGGGACTGGAACACGGAGGTGGTGATGGTGGGCCATCTTCAGTCACGTGGAGGAGGACATGGGGATGCCACAAAATAGGACCCTGGGCTTTTGGATGTCCTCCTGGAACAGAGCTGCTGATCCCCAGATGCCACTTGGATTTTATATAAAGGAGAAATAAACTGCTGTCTTGTTTCAGCCGCTGCTAATTCTGCCTCTATTTAAAAAAGCCAAATCAATATTCTAGCAATATGGTGTGTGTAAAACAAATAGCTCGGTGTCTAGCACGTACGTAAGTGCTTCTTTCAAAAGGTACCTATTGTCACCATTAATATCACATCTAAGTCTCCTTCGGCAGCAACGCTGGCTGAGTCTGGTCACCTGTGGATTAACACTCCGGCTCCACACTCCTCCAAGCGAATGGGAGTGACCCCATGTCACCCATGGTCAGCCAGACAGGTCAAACTGAAATTGTCTGTGGTCCATGCTTAATTCACACCAGGGGTCTCTTCCATCAGCCTCCAGCTGACCGAAGCCCTCCCAGGCAGACCGCCAGACAGGGGGCCATGGACCAGCACACGCCATCCCACTCCTCTGACCACAAGATGAACCGAAGCTCGTGGCAGCTCCTGTGTGTTCCTGCTCCTCCTCTCCTGCTGCAGAGGGCCTGGGATTGGAGGAGAGAAAGGGCAAGATGACACGGGAGGTGGATCTCAGATAATGACAATACAGCAGGGAGAGAGAACCAGAGAAACTGGTTCTAGAAACTAACTCTACCCTGAGAAATCAGGAGAGGCTTCTGGGAGGAGGTGAACACTATCCTGAAGATGTTTTCCAGACTGGAAAGGAGGGAAAGGGCTCTGCGGGCCGGGGAGTGCCCGGACAAAGGCTTCGAGCGTCAGAGCCCACACAGCTTGTGATGTGCGCCAGACCCCGGACCTGCCTCCCTGGCACCCATTCCTGCCCTATCTTCAAAGGCAGGCAGCACAGGAGAGGATAGGAGTCAGAGCCCCAGGCCCCCTAGGGCAGCTATGACAGAGCCGGCTTTAGGATCTTCTCTCCCTGCCCCCAGAGCCACCTAACTGCAAACAGTCCTGCGAGACTCCTGCCCTCCAAAGTGCCACACCCAGCCTTCCTGAACTGCGGACCCGCTCTGGGTCTGGGGCTTTGGCTTCAACCTGATTCTCCTCCTCAATCCCCAGCTCCCCGCCTTGGGCTTGTGCATGTCCTGCTGGCCTAGAGGCCCAGGAGAGAGCCCACAGACCAAGGAGGCTGTCCAAGTGGGAAGACATAGGCCCTTCCTTTAGGGGCTCCTCAGACCGGGCACAGTGACATGTGCAGAACAGAGCAAGGCCATGAGAGCTGAGCTGCCACAGAGGGCAAGAAGAGTGCAGATCAGGGACAATCAAGGCAAGCTTCCCGAAGGAAAGGGGCTGGGAAGGAAGGGTATCAGGGAAGATCAGCCTGCAGGCAGGCTCTGGGATTCCTCGGTCATAGGTACAGAGTGGTGAGGGATTTGGGTCAGACTCCAGTTTAAACATCCACAGTGCCTTCAGTGTCTAGTGGGAATGTGGTGGGTGCCATTGGAGGGTGTCCCCATAGCCTTGTCACCAGGAAGGCACAGTGAGTGGCTTCTCCATGGAGTGGGAATTCAGCAATGTGGGGGAGGGCAGTTGCTAAGGGAAAGGGCAGCCTCCACACTCCCATTGCACCTCCTGTCCAGGGAAGGGGGGACGTTAGAAATGACGCGTCCCCCAGCACACATACACCCACCTCACCCCCCAAACGACTTCCTCCACAGTCCCATCTTGGATCCCATCTCTACCCCCATCACTACAGCCCTGGAGGCTAGTAATACATCTCCTCAAGGTTTACTGACCTGAGGTTCTAGTGTTGAGTCCACGCCCCCAACCACCTACACCTTTGGAGGCAGGTGGCTAGAGCACCTCTGTCCCCATCTGCTCTCCTAGGCTGCCTAGCAAGCTCCTTTCCACCCTCCCCGTTCTTGTCCAGAACTTTCATCCTGCCCCACTTCCAACCCGACTTGAGAGTGCCACAGAGGTCCCTTGCTCGGGCTCCGTCCTCCCCGCCCCTGCTGGGCCACAGTGTCTTCTCTTAGCTCTGAGCAGAGAGTCCCCCACTCTGCCCCAGCCTTGTCCTGGGGAGCCTTTGGCGTCCGGTCTTCTCCTGGCTGGTGCCTCCACCCTCCACTCCCCCTGGATGCCACCTTCACGAAGGAGAAGGGAAAGGAAATACAAACGCACACATTCCGTTTCAGTGAAATTTGCTCTTTATTTGGGAAGCAGGGAAAGACCACACACAGCCCTCCAGCCCAGGGGCTGGGGACACGGAGAAATGGAATGAAGACCCCATCCCGCACCCACCCCCCAGGCGCAGCAGGCAGGGAGAGGAACCCAGGTTCCGGGGTCAGGAGCAACCATGCAAATGAGGTCGGTGTAGTTAGCATATCTCCCAGGAACCCTTGGGGTCGTCACCACATGTACGCGCCTTCTGGCCTGTAGGAGGGAAAGGAAAGGAATCGCTCAGAGCCCGGCGTCGGATCTGAGGAGGCTAGACTGGGGGAAACGCTAGGTGGTGGGGCTCCGTGGGGCCGCACATCCCAGACCGAGCACTAGGGGACAGGAAGTGTGGCTGGGGGTGGGAGGAGGGGCGCTTTTACCGTGACTTGACCCCGCGGTCCTCGCCGTCGGGGAAGAGCAGTTTCGAGAGGGCCGCTTCCGGGCTGTAGCGTTTCCCATACCTGGGGGCGGGGCCAGAGTGGGCGGGGTCAGCCCCGGACACGCCCCTGGGCGGAGGGCAGGAGCCCCGAGGACCCCGCGCCCGGCCGGCGCGCGCGCGCGCTCACCGCTGCCGAGTGACCAGGTTGAGGTAGTGGCGCAGCGACGCGTAGTAGCGGCTCAGCTCCTCCGGCGAGGCGTCTTCGCCGGGGGCCTCGGGTTTGGCGGGGTAGGCGTGGACCAGCGCCCCCAGGCAGGCGAGCAGGGCCAGCAGCACTGTGGCCATGGCGGGCCACGGCCTGCGCACCGTCACCATCTGGAGAGGGGGCAGGGATCGTGGGTCGTCCCCAGCCTCGACACCCGACGGCGGGAGGCCGAGGCGGCCGTCGGGCCCACGCTCCCCGGCCTGTGCAGGGCTACTACCGGACCAAGGCTCAGCCACCGGCTCGCTGTGTGTTCTCGGGCACTGCACCGTCTCTGCCTCGGTTTCCCCATCTGTCAGAGAGGCATAAGCCTGGCCTCCCCAACCCCCACTCGTACTGCCCAAAACGGTAGCTGGAGGCAGAGGGCTATGCTGGCCGCTCAGCACCAATTTCCACCACCCCAGCCTCAGTTTCCCCACAAAACAGCCCGGGTTCCCCCGCACCAGACCATTCCCGGGCCACTCACGGCGACAGCTCTGGAAGCAGAGATGAGCAGGTGGAAAGCGAAAGGAGTCCCAAGGGCTGGACTGCTGCAGATCGGGCTGTGGCCTCCTCCTCTGCTCAGCGCTTTCCCTACGGGGCTTATATCTCAGCCTGGAAAGGGAGGGAGAGTCCGAGGGGGAGGGGGAGCTCCAGGGGTGGGGAGGGCCTTTCCTCCTCCTTGCCTCCACCCCCGCCAGATCGCTGAGTGCACACCCAGACGGTGCGTGATGTCTCCACCTTGCAGGAGATGAGGGGGCAGCCACCAGACTCAGACTCAGACTCTGGACAGAACCTGAACCCCATCTTCACCCCACAGCCCCCCCAACAGCAGGTGCAGCCCTCCCGAGGAAGTGAAACGTTTGTATCTAGACTCCTGGGGCAGCCCCTAGGACCAGGGATAAGATTCCATCTTCCCTAGCCTACCCGTGGGTGGGAATGAGGAGCCTGGGCTGGCCACAACCTCCAGCCAGTGGGACCTGTGACGGGTCCATGGAAAAGGCAACCTTTTCAGCCCTCGCTCTGCAGTTCCTTGGAGAGGGGCTAAGGAGGGGCAGAATCTTTCTACTGGAAGCCGGGTAGGAGCTATGGCTTTGGCTTTTGACCTGATGTTTATGATGTCCTAGAGGAGAGGCCTCTCTGGACACCCCACTATGTCCCTTCTCTGTGAAAGAGCTGGGGAGAGGACTGGGAGGAAGCCGAGGCCAGTCCCCAACCCCAGAAGCAGCTGAGTCTGCCACCTATGCATCCAGCCGGACACATACAGACCCAGGCCCAAGCAGGCCCGGCATAGAGATCCCTTCCAAGGCAGCGTACCCCATCCCCATCCAGATGTCACTCAGGGCATTGGTGTCTTCTGGGGTTAAGTGATGCCAGGGCTGCCCAAGAACGTGCCACTGTCCCCAGCCCACTGCAGTCTCCACTGGGCTCTGGGGCGAAAATCCTTGCCCAGGGCCTTTGAAAGAAAGAGGAAGGGACTCTGTTCATTAGGCACCTACTGTGCACTGGCCATTCAGGATCGCAGCACAACCCAATGAGCTGAATGTATTCCCATTTTACAGATGAGGAAACTGAAGGTCTGAGAGAGGAGGGAACCTAGGATTCGAACAAGAGGAAAGGGCTGGGGTAGACCCCAGGAAGAGGCCATCTCAGCTGAGGGGCAGAATGGCTCACTACCTGGAATGACCATAGGGCTCAGAAGTCGGGCATGGGAGCAGGGGAGGGGAGGCTAATTTGGGAGCCTGCTACCCTCTCTGAGAGGCCAACCACATCAGACCCACCTGCCCCCACTGGGAAAAGAAGGTTGTTGGGGAGTCTCCCCATAAAGCCCTTTCCAGGTCCCTTTCTCCCAGCCTGGCCAGAGCCTCCAGTGCTTCCCTGCGTCCCATCATCCCCTGAGGGCAGAAGGCGCCATCTTGGTTCTGGGCCAGCCCCTCCACCCTCCAGGACAGATGGCCATGGGTGTTATTTTTAGAGCTCTCTCAAGGTGGAGAGTCTAGGGCTCCCTCAATCATCTTTTTATAGGTTTAATCACCTGCATTCTCCGGAAACGGCTCCTTATCAACCAGTCAGGCCCCATGGGCCCTGCATATCCCAAGAAAGGCGAGGGCAGCATGCTGAGCATGGAGGCAGAAGAGGGGACCTGGACCCTATACTCAGAGGGAGGAGAAAAATCATTCACCCGAGGGGCAGGGCACAGCCCTGTTCTCCAGGACCCCCAGTCTCAGAGGAGAGTCACGGCCATAACCTTGGGGATCCCCAGTCTGAGGGGAGGGGAGCAGCAGCATCACTGGGGAGCCCCAACCCAAGGGAGGAGGCACGCCCCTAACCTTGCAGAGCCCCAGTCTGGGGAGTTGTCAGGACATAGAGACAGAGAGGAAAACAGAGGGACAAGCCTGGGTCCAGCTGGGGGAGCAGACGGCAAAAATAAAAGTACACTCCTCCAGAGGCCATGGAAGGACAGAGGCAGGTACTCACCCTCGGGATGGAGAGGACAGCCAGCGGGGCTGGTTGGGGCAGCTGTAATCCCAGGGGTCAGGGCCTAGACAAGGACCCCTGCAGGCTACAGGGGACAGGATATCTGAGAGTGGGGGCCATTTGCTCTTCTGCAGCCCTGGCTGGGGTGGTGACAGGGGGTTTCTAGTGTATTGATCCCCGGCAGAGAGAGATGACAGGGATTGTGAAATGCCCAAAGGGGATTGACGGCCTCTCATGCCTTGGGGAGTGGGGGGGTCTGAGGACAGATGGGAGCAGAGGAGAAATAGTAGAGAAGCCAGAAGGTGTGGGGGAAGGCCTGGATTCAGGATACAACCCCTAAAAAAGTCGCTTCCCTATTTGCATTTAGAACGACTGTGAGAGGGACCAGGAGCCAGCCCCCACAGCTTACAAACCTCCCGTGGTCCCACCCTGCCCTCTGATTCCACTTCCCAATCACAGGGCAAGCTGATTGGTTCATTAATCACCACCTCCTCATTGAAGAGTTTATTAACTTGTTCCTTAGTGGGGAGGATGTCTCAGCCGGTGATCAATGGGCTCAGTTAACCCCACCCACACACCCGCCATCATCACTGACCCATGACTCAGTTGCTATTAGACATGTCTGGGAGGTGGGGGGCCGATATATGTGAAAGGAGAAACTTCAAAATAATTGTTATTGTAGAATTGGGACCAGCACCTGCCTCCAACTTGTCCTCCAAGGGCAGAGGGGACAGAATCACTGGGGTTCCCTTGATCCCCATTCTCAGAACACCTAGTAAGGCCACTCCAGGGGCCAAGAACTTGGACCCCTTGCCCACGGGGGTTCAAGGGCCACTCATCAAGATAGGATGACCTATGGCACGTATCTCCAGAGGCTTAGCATTCTGTACCCCACCCCACTGACTTCCCACTGTCCACCACTTCCCACACACAAGGGCTCTCTTGGATATACCATGCACTGGGCAGTGCTAGGCCACTGCCTTCCACCCTCAACAAGGCCTCATGCCCAAGGTTCTGTGGACAGCAGGTTGCCATGTGGCAAGTATTAAGCCCCTACTCTGCCAGGCACTATCCTAAGGACAGAAGACAGAGCCATGAACAAAGGGGCAAAATCCTTGCCCTCATGGAACTTACATTCTAATGGCAGGAAACAGAAAATCAATAAAGAAAGCATGTAGTATGTCTGATTATGATAAGTACTATGGAGGAAAGTTAGAGGACAGGGGAACAAAGAGTACTAGGGTGCAGGGGGCTTATTTTATGGTGGGTGGTTGGGGAAGGCCTCACCTATTAGATGGCGTTTGAAGGAAGTGAGGAAGCAAACCATGAGGCTACCTTGGGAAGAATGTTCCAGGCAGGGGAAAGAGCAAGTGCAAAGGCCCTGAGGTAGGAGTGTGCTTGGCAGTTTGAGGGTGGCAAGGAGGTCCATGGGTTGGAGTGGAGTGAGCAATGGGGACAGTGAGAAGGAGAGGAGATCAGGGAGGCAGCAGGGGACTGGATCATGTAGGGCCTTGTAGGCTGCTATGAGGACTTTGGCTTTTGCTCAGAATGACACAAGAGCTTCAGTCCAAGGAGTGACATGGTCGGACCTAGGTGTTATTTTTTTCATTTATTTTTAAAGACTTTTTTTAAAGTAATCTCGACACCCAACGTGGGGCTCACGAGACCAAGAGTCCCATGCTCCACTGACTGAGCCAGCCAGGCGCTCCCTAACTTGGGTTTTAAAGGAAGCATCCTGGCTGCTGTGTTGAGAACAGACTGTAAGAGGGCAAGGTCAGAAGCAGAGAGGCCAGTTAGGAACCCACTGCAATAATCCAGCCAAGATGTGATGGTGGCGCAGGCCACGCGCACACGCGCGCGCGCACACACACACACACACACTCCTCACAGGTGCAGATATCCCACACATGTTTCACCCAAGGACAACTCCCAGTTACATCCAGACAGTACTGATAGCCTTGCATCTAGCTAAAAAAAATCCCCTGGAGGAGACAGTGGAAAATCAATGGATGTCAACGGGAGTTAAGCGGTGGATCTGTCTGCTCTCCCATGGTTAAGGCTGCTCATGTATTGCCCATGTGAAACTCTCTATGCTACCTTGATTCCCAGCCACAGCCCAGGAAAATACTGGCTACCGTGATGGTGCTTATCAAAATGCAAGCCTGTTCATTTTGTCATGAGTACAAATGTCCTGTTACCTAAAAACACTCTGGCTCTTTGCACGGAATGAAGCAAAGAATGAGGAATAACCCGCTGCCACCGTTGAGAATTGGCCACCTCTCCAAAGGGATATTAGCTGCATTCCAGGAAGCTTTATCATCCGCTTGGATTAATGGTAGGGGAGCAGATAGGGCCACCCTCTACTTCCCATGATCTGTCACTGTCAAAGCCCTGTGAAGGGCAACGGGGACTGTGGGTGAGTGAGTGAGGTCAATGAGAAATGGTTCAAACTGTAACACCGTGGATTCTGGTTATATCTAGGGGGTCGCTTTGGGAGGTAGTAATGCCAAGAAAGAAAGGGTTTTCGCTTCTGATGGCTGGAGTTCTCCTAGGAAACCTTCCCTTACCCCAAGTCGTCGGTCCTTCCGTAAATCGCGGCGACAGATACCTGAGGCATGGTGCACTCCCAAGCTTCAGGCTTCTCTCTAGAACAGGTGCTGCCAAAGCCTTTCTGTAAAGGACCAAATAGTAAATATTTTAGTCTCTGTTCAGCCGTTCAGCTTGGCTACTGTCACACAAAAGCAGTCAGAGAACTAGGCGTCCCCCCCCCAAAAAAAAGAATAGGTGTGGCTGCACTCCAATAAAACTTTATTGGTGGATATCAAAGATTGAATTTCACATGCACTTCACATCATGAAATATTCTCCTTTTGATTTTTTCCAACCATTTAAAGATATAAAACCATCCGTTGTAAAACCATTTGTACTCAGGACATACAAAAACAGGTTCGCAGCACCACGGTGTGCTGACCCGTGGTCTCAAAAAGCGGGTAGTTCAGTTACCCCCGGGGGTTGGGCTACCTGTTTACCAAGAGTCAGCTGGATCTCTCGCCTGTTTCAGCCAGGTATACTTGTCATTGTAATCCTATAATCCTATAATCCTATTATCACATAATTCAATTAAATATTACACAAACTGATGAAATGTGAGTGCACAGAATCACTTCCTTGAAAACTAAGTTGGCTGCTCTGAATCGACCAGAGAATTGCCGAAATGTTGAATGAGGTGTGAAGGATAACTAGAAGTTCTTCGGAGAAAATTCTAAAAAAAAATCTAAGCGGCTTCTACACCGGATAGTTTCACTCATGTCCTTACATTCTCACCCCATTTAAGGAAACTGGAAATAACAGGTGATGGGTTGTGGGAGTGATTAATGCAAGGAAGACAAGGACAACTCCAGTCAGGAGCCCAAAGAGAGCCTAGTGCCTAAATGTGCATTTATATGTTTGAAATCAAAACAAAATGACAAAGGCATATATGTTTCTATTTTTATGATTGCCCACTTGGGCCAGCCTTTTCTAAAGACTGGCTAGTGACTCAGTCCTGCTTATATCTAAGCAAGGACTTCTCCAGCAATTTACCTATATTCTGTATATTTTGAATTTGAATGGTTTTTTTTAAAGATTTTACTTATTTATTTGAGAGAGAGAGAATGAGAGAGAGAGAGCATGAGGGGGGGAGGGTCAGAGGGAGAAGCAGACTCCCTGCCGAGCAGGGAGCCCGATGCGGGACTCAATCCCGGGACTCCAGGATCATGACCTGAGCCAAAGGCAGTCGCTTAACCAACTGAGCCACCCAGGCGCCCCGAATTTGAATGTTTTTATATGGTGTATATATTAGTTCAATAATTTTTTTAAAGATTTTATTTATTTATTTGACAGAGAGAGACACAGCAAGAGAGGGAACACAAGCAGGGGAGTGGGAGAGGGAGAAGCAGGCTTCCCGCCGAACAGGGAGCCCGATGCGGGGCTCGATCCCAGGACCTCGGGATCATGACGTGAGCCGAAGGCAGACACTTAACGACTGAGCCACCCAGACACCCCTATATTACTTTAATAATTTAAAGAACTAATAAAGGGGTGCCTGAGTGGCTCAGTTGGTTAAGAGTCTGATTCTTGATTTCGGCTCAGGTGATGATCTCAGGGTCGTGAAGTCAAGCCCCACGTTGCGCTCGGCGCTGGGCGTGGAGCCTGCTTAAGATTCTCTCTCTCCCTCACCCTCTGCTCCTCCCCTCCCCGCTCAAGCTCTCTCTGTCATTAAAAAATAAAAATTTTAAAAATAAAATAAAAAATAAAGAATTAATAAACTGGGATGTCTGGGTGGCTCAGTTGGTTAAGTGTCTGACTCTTGATCTCAGCTCAGGTCTTGATTTCAGGGTCATGAGTTCAAGCCCCGCATTGGGAAAAGAAAGAAAGGAAGGAAGAAAGAAAGAAGGAAAGAGAGAGAGAAAGGGAGGAGGGAAGGAAGGAAGGAAGGAAGGAAGGAAGGAAGGAAGGAAGGAAGGAAGGAAGGAAGGGAGAAAGAAAGAGAGAAAGGGTAAAGAATTTTCTAAATCAATAAAGAGAAAACACTGGTGTGTGTTGTGAATCCTGTAACAGGGTAGCTGGGAGGGGCCCCGGGCTCCAGCCCCCGCCAGGAAGACCTGTGCACATGCCCCCACACCCACCCCACGTCAATGCTCCCGTTCCTAGGGATGAGCCTCCTGTCTGAGTCTAGAACATCTCAGGGACCTACAGTCACAGGAAGCCTGTGCTGCTGGTACAGAAACTCAGATTCTGAAAAGCGGCGTGATTCTGGGGAGAGACATGATAAGCCAGGCCATGTGAGACCTTGTATCTGTGACTCCGGGCATCTCCCATGGTGCGCCAAGGAAATGGTTGCCGAATCAGTGAACACATGAGAATATCAAGTTAGAATATTGGTGCAGCTGCCTTGATAGAGACCAAATAACAGTAACTTCGATGCCACTGAGGTGGATTTCCCTCTCGTATAAGGGTCTGAGCTGGCAGATGGTCCAGAGGTAGGGGGCTCTGACCCCCAAGGAGCCCAGCACCTTCTATCTTGTTACCCCGAGACAGCTGCATTCATCTGTTTGGCGGAAGAATGATAATCTCCCCACATTCACATGCCAGCTTATGGCAATGAGTAAAGAGAAGTAGAGGGTGAGCGTTTTCCTTTTAAAAATCTAATGGGGAAGCTGCACAGATGACTTCAGCTCCTACCCCAGCGTCCAGAACTTGGTCATATGGCCATTCCTCGCCAGGAGGGAGCCTAGGATACGTGGTCCCCACCTCGAGGATATCATCTTCCCGCATGGTTTTAGCCAACTCAGTGGTGTTTTCCCACCTCAACAACCAGCTCTCTGATTCTCCTGACACCAAGTGGGTGCTCAACAATTTGATTCAATTCTGACACTAACTACCTGAGGTTAGCTCCCACCACCCACGGGCCCAATGCCACAGTCCTGCCCCCTACTTCAGATGCCATCGAAAGTCCTGGGCCTCCCGTGCTTCCGACCAACTGGCTATAAATCTGGGACTCCCACGACCCCATCCTTGGGTTTGATAATTTGCTAGAACATTTCCAAGAACTCAGGAATACATTTTATTTACATTTACTGGTTTATTATAAAGGATGTTATAAAGGATATAAATGAGCAGCCAGATAAAGAGGTACATGGGGCAAGGCGTGGAAGGGTCCTGAGGTCAGGAGCTTCTGTCTTGTGGAGCTGTAGTGCACGGCCCTCCTTGGAGATGGGGGTGGGGCCGAAAGTTCCAGGCTTCCCATCAAGGCTTGGTCTTTCTGGTGGCCAGTCCCCCTCCTGAAGCTATCTAGGGGCCCACTCACCAAGAGTCCCCTCATTAAAACAAAAGATGCTATGGGGCGCCTGGGTGGCTCAGTCGTTAAGCGTCTGCCTTCAGCTCAGGTCATGATCCCAGGGTCCTGGGATCGAGCCCCGCGTCAGGCTCCCTGCTCCGCGGGGAGCCTGCTCCTCCCTTTCCCACTCCCCCGGCTTGTGTTCCCTCTCTCGCTGTGTCTCTCTCTGTCAAATAAATAAATAAAATCTTAAAAAAAAAAAAAAAAAGATGCTCCTCTCACCCAAGAAATGCCAAGGGCTTTAGGAGCTCTGTGTCAGGAACTGGGGACAAAGACCAAATATATATTTCGTCTTATGCCACAGCCCCCTCTGGGAATAAGCCCCAAATCTCTGTCACTTGCTTCTCTGTCAAGCTCCTAACCCATATCATCCTCTGTCCCAGACATATCCATTTAGATGTCTCCCAGTCAGCTAAAACTCAGTGTCAGCCAAAATAATGAATAACATTTCTCAAGTGCTTCCAATACACCAGGCCTTTTCACACATTAACTTAGTCTTCACTGCAAACATAATTCGCCTCTTTTTTGCAGAAGGTGGAATGGAAGCACAGAGCGTTCAAATCAGTAGCTGGCCCTTGACTTAACCCCCAAATCTCCAGGGATTTCCGGCTCCATGAACAGAATTTCCAACTCTTCAGGCGGCTGAGTGGGAAATCTTGGCTTCCCACCACAAATGACTTGACTTGCTCCTTGGAAGTCCGAAGGAAGAGCAGTGCAGATCTGAGAACAGGCAGCAGGTCTCGGAATTGAGGTGTAACCACAAAGGGATTCTTCAGAAAGGGTTTAACTTTATTCTGTCCCCTGCCATATGGAATGCACAGTTGAGGACGTGCGCTCCTCTTTAAGGCTTGTAGAACACATTTTTACCCATAAATAAAAAATGGAAATGCTGTATAGACTGCGTTTTGTCTTACACTTGTCGTTCAATGAGACATCGCAGGGCTCCTTCCTTGCCAATAAATATACGTCCAACCCTCTCCCCCAGCGCTCCCGATGCTCCTCACCTGTCCTGTTTTTTCCCCACAGCACTTGCCACTTTCTATCATACTATACACTAACTTATTTATTATGCTTATTGTCTGCCTACTTGCGACAGACTGAATGTCGTATGTTGAAAATTCGTATGTTGAAATCCTAACCCCCAATGTGATGCTCTTAGGAGGTGGGGCCTTTGGTGGGTGATTAGTTTATGAGGACTCATGAATGGGATATCAGAAAGCTCCCTCAGCCCTTCCGCCACGTGAGGACACAGCAGGAACCGTCTTTATGAATCAGGAAGGGGTTCTCCCCAGACCCTGAGTCTACCGGTGCCTTAATCTTGGATTTCCCAGTTTCCAGAATTGTGGGAAATAAATTTTGCTTTTTAAGCACTATCAAGTTTATGGGAATTGGTTATGGCAGCCTGAACAGACTAAGACACTCCTAGAATACAGGCTCCATGAAGGCAGGGGTCTTTGTTTTCCTCACTGATGTATTCCCAGGGGTGGGGGATGCCACAGGGGAGGCTGAGAGGGGGACAGGGGGCAGCAATACTTGCTGAACGAATGAATCCACCTCCTCAGGTGCAGGGGCCGCGTGGTTTAGCAACCATATATACAAGTGTGTATACACACATACATGTACACACTCCGAAAGACAAAAGTGTATTCCTGTCCCATTGCACTCTGCGCTCTCCCTTTGCTCGCCCTGCAGGCTAGGCAGTGGGGGATATGGAGCCCTGCGCACTACAGAAGGGGCACCAGACCTCACCCTGCAGGGCCAGTGTGCACCTGCCTCCGAGGCTGCAGAACTAGG